TTTCCATATCAATGCATAAAGTCCCTGCATTGTTTTTAATGGCTTTATTATACTTTTGTGCCGTAATTTATTCAGTCATTCCAAGGGTACTTTTTAGGTTATTTCTAGTTTTTTGCCTGTTACAAGCAGTGCTACAAACATCCTTGCACAAATATCTTTGAATATTTGTACACATGTATTTGTCAGATACATTTATAGAATTGTAGTTGCCAGGTTAGGAGTCTTGTGCATTAAAATTTTTCCTTAGGTATTACCTATTTTGTTTCCAAAAAATGTTTTACCAATTTATAGTTCTCACCATCATGTGTGAAAGTACCTGTTTCGTCACACCTAGGTTGATACTTAACTTGCACGCAGGTCTTGCCTCCTCCAGGAAGCCTTCCTTTACATCCATCTCTCACTCACACATTCCACTTGTTCTCTCACTCTGCCCTCTGGACACTACTCTGCTGGGCTTCTGCCATGCAGCCTGTGCATTCCCCTAGGACACCTCCTACGTGGTGTGATAAATATTCAGTTGGTGGTTTGAGGGAAGGGACTGTCCAATTAGTACTCCATTGACAGCTGCTACCTCATGCTTGGCACACAGGAGGCCGTCAGGAGTTTGTTAGGAGAACTCAGTAAATGGTAGCTGTCATCCCCACAAGACTCAGACTGTATGCTCTCCACTGTTCTTTCCCACTTTAAAATTTTATAACTATGTAAAGCTGTAGTTAGAGCTAATTTTTCTATTTAGAAAAGTTAATCAGATTTAATATTTATAGTACCTGAATTGCTTATATTTAGAATACTAGAGGTAGAGAAAAAATTTTTAAAGCATTTCTTACTCTAGGCTCTAAACAGGTAGGAATGTTTCTCCTGCCCAATGTTTATTTATAGAGTGGGTAGATTTTACAGGTCTCCAGTCTTGGAGAAATAGAGATTTTCGATTAGAGCATTTCATTAAACGAGCATTCATCAAAGCAGCATGGTAAGTGGGGAGAGTGTGGACATGAGCCAGATGCCTTTAGCAAAGGCCGTGCCAATTCCTAACCTCAAGGCACCCACTCACCACAGTTAGGTCTGTAGGAGCAGAGTGTGTTCTTCTAGGAGCTTTTTCAGTGGAAAAATGGTGGGCATTGAACAATGTCTTATGAGAGGGAAGACAGGCCCTCCCTGCTTTTGAGGAGCTCCTGACCTGGCGGAGGGAGGCAGAGGCAGACCTGCAGAAGCCGAGTGACAGTGAACACGGTAGGCACTGGGTCCCACTGCTGGGAACCGAGGTGAGGAACCAGCATCTTCTGGTGAGGGAAGTTAAGGCAGGGACTGCACCTTCAGTGTGTTGGTAATGTGGTTGCATGAAGAATTCTTAATGTGTTGGTAATGTGGTTGCATGAAGAATTCTTAACACCTCTCAATTTGTAAATTGTCTTCTGAAACCAGGTTGAGGTCCATTTTGTTGAAATACAATCTCAAGAGAGAGTTGATTTCATTAATAGTTAAATTACATGCTTTCTTAGTTTGGTTTGGGGTTCTTTCTCTTGCTCTCATGAAGCCCATGAAGCCCAAGATTGACAGAGGAGGTGGCTTTGACAGATTCTGTCTTAGGTGGTTTTTTTTTTTCTGCCTAATAAGGGAAACTTATTTTAATTTTAAAATTATTTAAAATCTTGAGATGAAATTATGTTAATTATTGACCTAATAATATAATGTACTCCCCCAATTCACAAAAGCTAGCCTAATACTGTACCAGTCTGAGTACAGGTTACAACAGCTGTAGCAGAGAGAGTTCCAGAGTTGTTCAACAAGGTTGAGATTAATTTGTGCCAATCTCAATGTGGCAGGTGGACCAGAATGGGGGCCACCTCAGTGCCACAAGGTCATTCCAGACTCAGGCTGGTGGGTGACTCTAGCATCTTCAGCATGTGACTTCCATCTCTGGATCTATGACTGCTGATCCCTCAGCCAACAGCAAGGGAGAAAGATAGATTGAAAGGCAAGCAGCTTTCTGTTTAAAAAAATGATCTGGGAGTAGCATACATCACTTCTGCTCATATCTCATTAGCTAAAGGTTGGTCATCTGGCCACAGCTGGCTGCCAGGAAAGTGACCAGATGTCATCTCTAGTTGGGTAGCCATTTGTCCAGCTGGAACAGGGTGGCTTCTGTTACTAAAACGAAGGGAGGAGTGGATCCTGGAGTAGGTCAGCAGCCTAGGCCTGTCATACTGTCCCTTGGCCACTTCAGACTTAACTTGTCCAAAGCCGAACTTTCCGATTCAGCTATCTCCTGCTTACCTCCAGCTGTTTCACCTTTGTTTCTCCCCATCTCCTACAGGGCAACAAGTCACGTACATTCTTCCTCCAAGCCGTGCATTTCCTTCTTTTCCCCACCTGCCACAATCCTGCCATTTTTGTCAGGTCTGCCTGTTTTGAGTCCTACCCATTCGAATCCAACCCTTTCTCAGCTTCCCGAATGACCTCTCTGAAAAGCGAGTGTGAACCCATGCCTCTCGTGCTTTGATGGCTCTACAGCCCTCAGGCCCAGGCCCAGATGGCTCTGAGCGGCTTCCAGGGCCTGGGGTGATCTGGCCTTGTTTTCTCTCCAGTTTTTTCCCCCCATGACCCAGCAGAATCAAATCTCAAATGATTTGTCATGCTTAGAAGGCACCTCCAGCTCTCTGCACATGCTACTTCCTATCCCTTCACCCTAAACCTCCATTCTTCTGGGTTTAGGGCTCTCCTTGCATCCGATCTCTTCTGAGTGTACCCGCAGTGTACGCTCTCTGTAAGCTTGAAACGCAGAAGGCAGGTTCTGGCAAAGGACCTGGTCCACAGTGGTGCTCAAGAAATGCTTTATGAATGACCAGTATTGCTGGTGCATTACAATATGGCCAAGAAATCGCAGGTTGTAGTGGCTCCTGCCTTCTCGTTGAGTCTGTCTCTGATCCTTTGCATTTTTACTCCACTAGTCAAGCTGAGCAATTCACCATGTCTGAGCACAGCCAGTTTGAGTTCTCTGCTTCTACTCTGTCTCTGGCAAAACTATCCAGGGCAAATGCCACCTCCTCCATGAAGCTCTTCTTGTTTTCTGCACCCCTGCTTGTGGGTAGGACCTCTTTTGCCTTTCAGCTTTGTTTCTATTTTGCTTATGACCCTTACCTCTTTATAACTTATATTACAATGTAGATAATAGACTCATTCCTCACACTTCTCCCCCAAATAGTGAAGTAGGTGCTGCTTCAAGACCAATACCTGTTTGATCTTGATATATGTCTTCTATATTATTTATCACTTTCTTGTACAAAGGTACCCCGTAAATGTTGAGATGAATTGTCTCAGCCTCTTAAAAACTATAAATAAATTAAGAAAAAGATGCTCCTTCAGATGTCAGTAAAATAGAGCAGCATCGTGAGGGAATCATTAGCTACAGTGTACAGTGTTATGGGTCTGATCAGCAGAGGTATATTGAATGGTCACTCTGTCCCAGGGGCCAGGCCCTCCCTGTCCTCCTATCCTGGGAGTACAGGGTGCCACCATGAACAAGACAGACCTTTCCCTCCCCTCCTAGAGCTTAGGGCCCCCTTCTCACAGCAGCATGGCTTGGCCAGCTCACTAAGCCTTGGGTCACTCCAGTGTAACACAGGGCTGATAATTCCTGTCGGTCGTTGTGAGCAGTGTGTTAGCTTATCTAGTGCAATGCTGGCCTCCCAGACGCAATCCCCAGCCAGTGTGCAATGGCTCTTGGTCAAAATGGCTGCTGGTACTACCAGCTGTACCTCAGCCACTGCCCTGAGAATGGTAAAACATGAAGCAACAGTCAGTTGGAGAAACTATTCATTTGATTTAAATTCTTTGTTCAGTCTTGTTGTTAATTTCCATGTTTAATGGAAGTCCTAGACATCATTGTGTTGAAACACATATCATCACTCCAAAAACTCAGTGGGTAGATATTAAATATTAGGCGTTAGAACAAACAAGCAGGAATTTGGGGAAGCTGTAGAATAAAATTTAAATTCTGTGTTTGTAAGCAGTGTAGAATATTTACCTAAATGATTTTATTGTTGGCTTTTTAATTTTTAAGAAATGACCAATATAAATAGCTTGCTAACTTTTGAATAAACATTATCAGACAAGAGCCAGGGAACGGAGTAAAGGTAGCTGCCTGCCGATTTCTGTTTGCTTTGTTTTCTGTATAAAATCATACAGGCTCCTGCAGCGTAGGAATCTCAGCCTACTATCTAAACCACAGAAAGGCTGCTCCGGGGCTGCCAGTTTATATTCATGCCTCGTGGATACCATAGTGTCCATGCTTTTGGCTGTAGCTTATGACAGAGTTCTCTGTCTATGGCTGTCTGTATTGAAGCCCACTAGTGATGTAGGGTTTAGGGAATGTAGGCCAGCTCCGGGACCACCTCACAAGGTAGGAGCGCACTCACGAGCATCCACGGCACACACAGGTGTCACCAGGCCTCCAACACCCTGTTGTTGTGTTTTAACTTACCACTTTTACAATCACTTTGGCATCAGACTTGCTTTCTAGTTCGTCACTTTAACCTGAATTTGTGGACACAGCAGAAGACTGGTCCATTTGTTTTTCTGCATGAATGAATTGTAGACGTTCATTTTGCAGCATCTCCAGAGTGCCTCCATATCTGGTTGAGACGGCACGGTGTAATCTGGTCCCACAGGAAGCAAGCTGATGGGAATCACATAGTGATGTAGTCTTGTCATGGCTAATAAAAATGTACAAATTCTTTTCTCCAAAGGTTGTTATTTCCTAATCCAATCCCTTAAGATATGGTCATGCAGGGTCTCAGAATTCCTTCCTTTCATGATAATCTTGTACCATTAAAATGTCTTTGCATTTTTTGCATGTTGCTTAAGTTCAGAACTTGGTCTAACTCAGTTTACCAACTTACAGCCACGTTGTCTTATATACCAATGAATTTGAAACACTATTAAGTGAGCTATGCATGTATAATTTCAGTAAGAATCCATGTTCATTCTGTTTCTCTTTCAAGGAATCTGACGACTGTACCAGCTCTTTGGAATATTATATGACACTACATCATGAGTGACAGTAAATGTGATAGTCAGTTTTACAGTGTACAAGTGGCAGACTCAACTTTCACTGTCCTAAAACGTTACCAGCAGTTGAAACCAATTGGCTCTGGAGCCCAAGGAATTGTCTGGTAAGTATGGTCTGTTTCAGTAGTGTAGATTGAGTTTTTGTTGTAATAAAAACTTAATAGATCTAAGTCGTCAGAATTTAGAAACACTGATGATAAAAATACCCTTTTCTTTGCTATAGGTTTATAAGCTAAATTGAATCAACCTCTTGCTTTAGTTACATATAGTCAGATTGTAGGATACAAGCTCAAATTCTTAGAATGCTGCGTAAATTTAAATAGGTAGCAATTTTTCTTTGTTTCTTTTCTCTTTTTTTTCTTTTCCATTCCCCCTGTCATTATGATATTAGAGTAATAGGTATGACAGTGAGTTGTAACAGAAATTTGGAGTTTTATTCATTTCTTCATCCTGGCCACCTTTCCCCCCTCCCCCTTTTATTCCCAATCACTCCTATTCATTTCTAGGCGCCGTCATTGCAGTGCCTTGCCCTTCATTGGCAGGATGAGGCCAGTCAGTGTCATTATCACCCCATGGATTAACCAGGAAGGGATGCCGTATGAGGGGTTGGGCTGGCCGTCTCTTCCTTGGTGTCTCACTTCAACTATGTGTCCAGCCCAGAACGTCAGAACCGTTGGTCTGACCCTGAACCTTAGTCTCTTGCTTGGTAAGACAGTCAGCTGCCGCGACATCACTGGCCAGCTAAAGGTAAAGTTTTTCACATGTTTTCTAGACTACAGTTATCAGCACTTCCCAAGCTTTTTATCCCTTAGTTTTTTGGCAAAATCTTTTCTTCGTTTTTTGGTTAGTAAAAACAAGATTGTCTTTGCATCTAAAAGGAACTGTGGTAAAGCTAAACACCCAATGATTAGAGCTTGTAGGTAAAGGGGATTCAAGTAAAAGAGAACTCTTGGATGGTCTGGTAGGAGAGTTTATATTTTTATTAGAGATGTTGAGTTTAGAGAATCTGCATCAGTGGTTAGTAATTGATCCTCTGTTGTAGAGATATGAGATCAGGGAAGTTAGTTGTTTTCTTTGGCTTAGGTAGTTAGAGGCCCTGGAAGCTGAGAGGAGATGGTAGTTCAGAGACTCCCAGAAAAACTAATGAGGGGGAAGGGGCTGTTTGGAAGGAATGCCTGGCTTGCATCTAAAATAGTGGTGATCTTAACTTCCAATTGATAACATGCTATATTGGTACTTAAATCCAGTGTGCCAGGAAAGTTTTAAGGTGAATGGATGGTTCATATTAGGATACTTTGATGTTAATAAAAAGTTCTAGACAGTAAAATATTCTTTTGATTTATAACCCATCTCTTATTTGGAACTGGATGGTAATTTGACATAGGGAATTAAGGAAGACTGATATCAAGGACATTTAATGTAATAACCACATTAAGAGCTTGACTAGAAATTCATAATTAATTGTATAATGGAGAGCTTTATAAGGGTTTTGCAGTTAAAATTAATGACTTCATTACAGCACGGTAAATGACAATAAAATTACATGCTACTTTAAAAAATACTGTTTTTCAGAGATTAGTTTTGATTTCCAGTTTTCATATACTACTTCCCATCTTTGTTTTTTAAAGAAATGTTTAATAATGAATTTACTCATTATGGGTGTGTATTTTTCATTAAAAAAATTCTAGTTTTGAAATGAAAGTTCCCAAATAAACAGTTATAAGCTAAACCTCCTCTGGTAAAAGCAGTGGTAGAATTATAAGATGGAAAGTTCTGAATTTTTAAAGAATTTTAAAGACTAAGAGTCCAGAAATAAACCCAGACATCTGTGGCCAGTTGATTTTCAAAAAGGGTGCCAAGATTATTCAGTGGGGAAAGAACAGTCTCTTCAACAAATGGTGCTGGGACAACTGGATACCCACATACAAAAGAATGAAGTTGGACTCCTACCTCACATCATGTAAAAGGTTAACTCAAAATTGATCGATGACCTAAATGTAAGAGTTAAAACCATAAAACTCTTAGAAGAAAACAAAGGGGGAAGCGTCATGACTTTGAATTCTTAGAAATGACACCAAAAGCATGAGCAACAAAAGAAGAAATTGGACTTTATCAAAATTAAAAATTTTTGTGTATCAAAGAACACTGTCAAGAGAGTGAAAAAACAACCCACAAATGGGAAAATATTTGCAAATCGTGTATCTGGTAAGAGTCTAATATTCAGAATATAAAGAACTCCTACAACTCAACAGCAAACAGACAAACAACCCAATTTATTTATTTTTAGGTAAAAGCGTCTTTTTTTTTTTTTAATTGGAGTATAGTTGCTTTACAATGTTGTGTTAGTTTCTGCTGTATAACAGAGTGAATCAGCTATACGTATACATATATCCCCTCCTTTTTGGATTTCCTTCTCATTTAGGTCACCACAGAGCACTGAGTAGAGTTCCCTGTGCTATACAGTAGGTTCTCATCAAACAACCCAATTAAAAAAAAAAACAAAAAACAGGCAAAGGACTTGAATAGACATTTCCCCAAGGAAGATTTATGGCCAATAAACACATGAAAAGATGCTCATTGTTAGCCATTTGGGAAATGCAAATCAAAACCACAGTGAGGTACTACTTCATACCCACTAGGTGGTCATAATCAACAAAATGGAAAATAACAAAGGTGGGCAGGGATGTGAAGAAATTACAACCCTCATACATTGCCAGCGAGAATGTAAAATGGTGCAGCCACTTGTGGAAAACAGTTTGACGGTTCCTCAACAAGTTAAACATAGAATTATTACATGACCCAGTAAATATCCCTAGATATATTCCCAAAAGAATTAAAAACAGATGTTCAAAAAAGACTTGTATACAAATGTTCATAGCAGCACTATTCTCAATAGCCAAAAGGTGGAAACAGCCCAAATGTCCATCAATAAATGAATGGATACACAAGCTGTGTTATATACATACATGGAATATTATTCATAAAAAAAATGAAGCACTGATATATGCTACAACATAGATGATCCTCAGAAACATGCTAAGTGAAAGAAGCCAAACATAAAAGGTAGTATTATTATATGAGTCCATTTATGTGAAATATCCAAAGTAGGTAAATCCATAGAGAAAGATGCAGATTGGTGGTAACAAGGGCAAGGGGGAGAGAGGAATGGGGAGCAACTTCATAATGGGTATGGAGTTTCCTTTTGGGGTGATGAAAATCTTTTGGGGTTACTTAAAGGTGGTGATTGCACAACACTGTGAATGTGCTAAATGCTACTGAATTGTTCACTTTAAAATGGTTCATTTTATGTTTATGTGAATCCCCCCTTAATAAAAATTTTTTTGAAAAAAAATGTAAACTGAAAGGTGCCTTAACTTAAGGATATTTGTCATTTTTAATGGATATTTAACCCCTGATACTATAGTATTGTATGAAATATTTTCACGTTATATTATGCATTAAAATATGTTGTCATTTTCTTGTAACTTACGTTATATATTGATATAGTCTTAACTGTACTTTCACTTAACTCTTAGTATTTTCATTTAAATAATTTTATGACAATTTTATTAACATTTGTATGAGCAACTTTCACCTCACATACATGTAGAGGCTAAAATTTTAACACCATCCTAAATTTCACGTCTTGCAAATCCCCATTTCCATAGCCTGAATTTTGATTTTAAGGAAGGATCAAAAACTGGGTTTCACCCTTTTCTGCTCAAGAAAGAAGTCTTTGAACTGATTAAAATAGCTCTTAATGAGCCTTTTGCACAGCTAAGAGTTTATTTTGTGATCTTTGATGTAATTATTCACTTAACTTTGTAACCCAAGCCAGTTATTCATTACCAGATCAAAACCTTTTAGTTGGGTTAACTTTACTGATGCATGGAAAAGAGGTTAGTTAACTTGATTCAGATTATTGATACTTTCTTTTAGAAATGTTTGTGCAATTATGAAAATCATTCTTAGACTTCTGGGATGTTTTCTTTTGGCTTTTAGAGGAGGTGCCATCACGAGAGCTGGGCCTAGATGGTTGGAGACCTGGTTTCCATTATTACTTTACTGCTACTTTCTACCAGAGCCTGTGTTGGCTTCCTCTCAGCCGGGAAGGTGGGTGACTACTCCTCACCTTCCTTCTAGGCTTGAGACTTCGTGGTACCATTGAACTGCAGCAGTGGTGGTGCAGGCAATGGTAGTCCCAGACTGACAAGAGAGAAACGTTTCCTGTGATACTTCCCCCACATGTCTTCAGAGGATTTTTTCCTGGCTCTGTTTTGCACAGAGTCTTGGATATTGGCATTATGCTTTAAGGTCCTTAAAAGAAAAGTGTTCTTTTTATACACAGTTCAAGGAGAGGATCTTTTACCTTGTTCTGCTGTGTAGATAGAGCAAGAAACTATGAATGGTGCCAGTTAGACTCCTTTCTTCCTCATCAGTGATGGAAGGGCTTGAGTATACCCACCATCAAGCCCTAACTTTTAGATAACTTATTTCTCCAATGGTCCCTTCTCTGCAAATATGACAGGTTCTTTCCCACACCCATCACTTTTGTCCCTACTGCATCTCCTGGTTGGAGTCTCCTCTGAAACCCTGCTCTTCTGTCCCTGTCCTGACACTATCCCTGATCTTTTGAGACTTATCTGTGGAACTTCAGATAATCTCACCTCAATCTTGGAATAGAGCCTTCTCTCTGATCGAACCAAGGAGTGTGTGATTGGTTTGATTGATGCACACGTGCGCACGTGTGCACACACACACACTCCAGAACTGTAAGATAATAAATTTGTGTCTTAAATCAGTAAATCTGTGCTAATTTGTTATAGCAACAATAGGAAACTAATATACATGTGCTTTTACATTTTTGAGAAGTAAAATATAATAGTAGCAATAATGCGTGGTTTACAAAACTTGTTAATCATCTGTTTAAACTAGAGCTTGATAAAGATATAGGGACAGGTGTGTAGGTAAACCAAAGTGCAGGTATTGATACAGGATTAAAAGGAGGAGCTGGGGTCCAAATAAAATATTCTGACTCCTAATTTTGAATTGTTTTTACAGTTGTCTGATTTATTTGTTTCTATGTTTCTGTTGTTCATTAAAA